GTTTAGGATACTACCTTTATTTGATTATTAGTAACATGCTAAGGTTTGTTATTAATCTATTTAGTATCATGCCTAGAATCTTGCTATTAATGATGTTTTGATGATGTTGTTATGATGATGATTGTTGTATTAATCATATGTTGCTTGATTATTCATGGTTTATTGTTTTTGCTTGATCTCCTCCCTTTTTTCAAGTTTAAAGGGAATTTGTACTTGAAATCACGGCTAATAAGATAATTAATCATTTGATTTTAGGCTAATATGATTTTAATTCAAGTGATCACCAATAATAGATTTGATTATGCAATAATAATTAACCTACTTAGATTAAACATGTTTAGAATTAATTTGATGTATCTATGTTGATCGAAAAGCACACATGAATATCATTAGAATTGAGTAGAGGCCTATTTAGGGCGGGTTTAATATCTTTTAGGTTGGATTCGTACCATCATCCTCGAACATCCAGTCATGGTTCCAGACCACTATGGAGTTAGCTATCTCCGTGATCGTGAATGGGGTGTAACCTTCACACCCGTGAACGGTTTTTAAGTTCCTAAAACTTGTTGGCGACTCTTTTATCTTTAGCTTCTTTTCCTTGGAACACCGCCATACCTAAAAGCATGAACCGCAGTAGGGTTCAATGATGAGTTTGAAAAATTCCTTACAGTTTTTGGCGACTTCGCTGGGGAGGATTTCTTAATTGATTCCTAATTTGGCAATTAATTTAGAATGAGTAGATGAGACTTGAAATATTCTAGATATTCATTGTGCGTAATTTTGATTAACATTGTAGAATAAGCATAAAAAGTTTCGCATTGGAAAGGCCATTCGTAATGTTTCAAAAACATAGGAATATACACGTAGGAAAGGCCGAAAATATCTTTCACAACTAAAATCTAAAAGACGCTACAAAACATCGAAAAAATATCGAACATAGAAATATCCACAAAGCGTCAGAACCATCGCAGGATGACAGAAACCATTGCCAGACAATAGCTTCATCGCGCCGCGATAGAGCTATCACTGTGCGATAGTTCTTGCCTTCCAGTGACAGATCTGTCGATTTTGTGCCAACTTTTTGACTTCTTGTTTCGCCTGATTCTAGTACTGTCACGACAACTTTACTTCCTAGTTGAGTTTATTTCGACTTTTCTAAACCCATATGTGTTCTACATATGGTTTTAGCCCTTGAGAATTCACGCTCCATCCACCCTAATAAATGCTCCATGCAATAACGGGTGCATCCGAGTTTGTTGCATTCACTAAACCATGGAGTTGAGTTTAACTTTCAAGGTCCCATCCATCGTGCCAACCCTTCTAAGGTAAGGCTTCTGCGTGATTTATCCGGACTCTTAACCATGGACCCTCTTGGATACTATAATCCTTGACCTTAGAGAACTAGAGCCATGGCTAGGTTGCAAACTCATTACATCATATTGTGACTACTTGTGCATATCTTACTTGTGCATAACTTGTTTGTGATTAAACTAACCTTTATTCTTGTACATATGCCTATACAAACTAACCCTTTGTCTTAACTGCTTCTTGTACATTTGACTTGTATATACTAACCCAAAGGACTTTGCTTAATTAATTTGGTTAATTAATGAACACCTAAAATATTAATATGCTCAACATAGTAGAATTTAGGCTTAAACCCTCGAAAGAACGATTGAAAACAAGCTACAGTGATGCTCCATTTTTGGCGCACCACTTTGGCTTGTGGCGCAAAACGTTGGTGAACATCGCGTCGCGATAGACTTATTGCACCGCAATGGAACCATCGTCCTGCGATAGTTCCATCTCTATGCAATGATTCAATTTTTACTTACCGAGTCTTCGCGTCGAGTCCCACTGCCATGTTTTACCAGTTTAAAGTCAATATGAGGTATTTCCCTGGTCTTGTATGAGTCTAACCGCATGTCTAGTCACATGGTCATGGCACGAGTCTTGTACATATCACCTTTCACTCATAAGTCTTTGCACACACTTGGTACATACTTTCTTAACACTATGGCCATGTTTTAGGTCCATGCATGAGTCGTCCTTTCTGTCATTTGAGTTAAAGGTCCGTTCTATTCCCGGATTTCTCCATATCTCTCCACAAAAATACGCTCTTTCCCTTTACATCATTACATACCTTTCCATGAATACACTTTCCTTGAACACTTCCCACATTCACATATTTCCCTGTTTCACGCTTTCCCCATACACATCATTCACCTCACACACTATGATCTTTCCCCACCTATGCATGTTGAATAAAGTTCAAATCCTGTGATTGATAATGAGTGTCCATGGTTTCCTTTCCACAGCGTTTGGTCAAGGAAAGAAGGGCGCTTAATCTGAGATAATACCTTTTTACAAGTACTCCTTTTCTAGAACACGGTTCGAAAGAAGAAGAAACCAATGGCGGCCAAACAAGAGGATGTTGACAGAATCCAAAAGACCGTGGATGGTCTTGTTGAAATGATTAAAGGACTCAGCACTCGAATGGAGAAGGCCGAAGACCCAAGCAAACATGTCCCACTTGAGACAATCAAGCGCGTCGAGGAAAGCCTAAGTTAGGATCTTCTTCGCACAAGTTCTCTACAACTGACATTCCCAAATTCAAAGCTACTGACAATCCTTACTTACATTTGAAGGCTTTTAAGACAATCATGGAGATTAAAGGGATTGATAAGAAAATATTCCCTCCATTATTTTCTCTTTCCTTAGAACCCGTATGTCAACAATGGTTCTTCTCTATAGGTTCTGAGAAAATTGCTACTTGGGACAATATTACTCATGCTTTTATTGATAGATATAAATGTAATGTTCAAAGAAATTGATCATAGCGAGCTTGAAATCATGAAACAAAAACATAATGAAAGCTTCACCGAATTCTATACTAGGTGGAAGGAAGTTTCTGCTAAGATGATCAAGGTCCCAAACGAGAAAGACTCTGTGAGAATGTTCATCAGAAATCTTCAAGACAAGTACCAAAAGCACCTGAAATATCAACTCTTAAACACTTTCAAGGCTTTCTACAGTATAGGCATTGAAATTGAAGACGGTCTTATGAAGTTGGCAGCTGCTAACAATAATAACGCGAAAGGAAAGAAGAAAGACCATCCTCCTTCTTCCTCTCCCATTAATGAAGTACATGCTATAGACACTCTTAAACAACGAATACAAAGGTCAAAAAGAGTGTTTACTCCACTTGGCATGAGCTATGAAACAACCTTCGATAAACTACACCATAAAGGACTGGTCATGCCCATTGGACCTATCAAAGATCTAGTCCCAAAAGCCAGATCACTAAAGTGGGATCCTAATAAACACTGCAAGTACCACCTAGGAAGAGGTCATGATACTGAGGAATGTTGGAAACTCAAAGAAGATATCCAAGATTTGATTGATGAAAACAAATTTTCCGAGGTTCTAGCCATCGCAGAGGATCAAATAACACTACACGAAAAAAGGTATTTGGCACCGGTTCAAACCCCCCTTTGCGCACCGGCTTTGAACCATTCTAGATTTGAGGGATGCCAAATCTCTGAAAATTTGGCACCGGTTCAAAACCGGTGGCTATTTAAAGATTTGGCATCGGTTAGCCGGTGCTAAATACCCTCTTTGGCACCGGTTAACTGGTGCCAATTACCCATGGCGCCCTTTTTTTTGTTTAATTACAATATAATAGGCACCGGTTTGAAGCCTGAACCGGTGCCTTTAACTGTGTTTTTTTTATTTCGACAATAAATAATAATATTGATACTAATACTAATAACAACAATGAGAAGCTGTACATCCTGCATTAATTCTACCATTATTATATAACAATAACAATAATAAGAATAATTATTATTATAATATTATAAATGATAATAATAATAATAACAATTTGTAAATTGAAATAATAACAATACATAAATATTAATTATTAATCCCAAATGTAATACTATTTACAAACAATACTAATTTAAAAAAAGTTTCATAATTACAAACAATACTAATCAATAATGTAGTTAACAAGTTCAAATAGAAATGATATTTACATGTTAAATGTGATGAAGGACGCCAACATGTCTCGATCTTCATTAAGTTTTTTGCTCATCAACAGACCTCCCTTTTGTACCTTGCAAAATTAGGAATAAACAAAAAGTAGGTTAGAATTAATTACTTAGGTTATGCATGTAAAAATACATTTATAAGTTCAGTTAGGCAAAAATTTATTACTTAGGCCTATTTGACTACTAGGATTCCTATTTCCTACATTTCTTGTCAAATGAACTCATTATTTCTCATAACATGTCATTTTTACTTAGTTATAGGCGGCTATGGCTTGAAATCACAAGGAATGAGCAGTTTAAGTGTTTTAGGGTTCATTTTTATCCCCCCAAGTAAGGCCTATTTGACTACTAGGATGCCTATTTCCTACATTTCTAGTCAAATGAACTCATTCTTTCTCATAACATGTCATTATTACTTAGTCATAGGCGGCTAAGGCTTGAAATCACAAGAAAGGAGCAATTTAAGTGTTTTAGGATTCATTTTCATCCAAATTGGCCCAAGTAAGGCCTATTTGACTAATAGGATGCCTATTTCCTACATTTCTTGTCAAATAAACTCATTCTTTCTCATAATATGTCATTATTACTTAGTTATAGGCGGCTAAGGCTTAAAATCACAAGAAAGGAGCAATTTAAGTGTTTTAGGAATCATTTTCATCCAAATTGGCCCAAGTAAGGCCTATTTGAATACTATTTCTTACATTTCTTATCAAATCACATGTTACGAGCAAATAAACTAAGTCAATGGCATACCTCATCAAGGTGTAGTGTGTTTGTACAACGACTCACTATGTCAAACATGAATCTCATCACGTATAGGCCACAATCATTTCCGTTATCTTGTTGTGCGCACTAGCACGGGAACAAAGTACATGACTCAAACATGCATATATAGAAAATTAGTAACATTTTACGTATTGTTTAATACGAAAATCACAAGATCATGTGGCATTACCATCGGTGATTTCCATGTGGGACCTTGAGGAGCTCGACAATTTATCTTCTTCATAACACTATATAAAAGTAATGTCAAATTTGATTAGTATGACTAATAAATGAGTTAGGTAATGATAATCAACACTAGGTAGAATTATTTACTTTTGCAGTATGGACTTCACGAGGAGCTTTTTTGGATGAGGCAATCAAGCTGAATCAAAAAGGAAGATTGTGTTACTGGAAACACAAATCACCAACAGGGTCCAATGCAAACTACATAAATTCACAGTAGACAAACAAATCAATTATTAGCCATGTACAACATATAATCAGGGGAAACAAATGAATTTGACATGGTTAGACGTACTCCTCATAACATGGGGCCAATATGAACTTGTCTCTCGCACGTACTGATTCCTTGATACCCCCCCGTTCAACATAGTACAACACGTCAGGGTGGTTGCCTAAGATTCTAGTAGTGGAGATCTGCTCGGGGCATAACCACCTAACTTGACACGGAGAATCAATGTCACGTAAGTGCTCCTGTAGTGCTCTGCATGCATGATAATAGAATATTAATGGAAAAATAAACGATAATCACCACTAATCTGAATAACATACTTTGAGCGGCATTGAATTACCTCATGAATGTTTGAATGAGGGAAATGTTAAGCATTAATCCACTTAGAAATTCCTTCACATCTTCTTTGTTGAGCCATGAAATTGCATCGTCATCATAGTGGAACAATGCCTTGGGTAGTGCAACTTGAACGGGAGTCTCACTAGGCAACATACTAACACGGTTGTGTAGATAAGTTAAATCTTTAGAGGGCGATTGAAGGACCGTGTCTGCAACAAGTGGAGTAGCTTGCATAGCTTAACCTCTCGAAGAGTTCTTCTTTGACGCTTTTTCACTCTCCGACCGTTGTTCACTCCTTCTTTGGCACCGGTTGATCAATGCTTTTAAGCTGCTCCACCCTCCTTCTCTTTGAAGTTTGACTTTTCTTCGAAATCTGATAAAGCAAATCACGCAATTGGTTAGAAAATAAATCCATCCAACTCTTGGGAAGACAACCGGGCATAGAGTAAAGAGTGAACCCAAAATCTAACCTCGTTAATCAACCTTACCCAATCACATGGCCATTGCACAAAGCTACCTTTCGCTTTCCAGAGTGTAGTAATCCCATCCTCCTCTACAGGCACCGGTACTCGAATGTACTCGAACCCCACAACCACAGAATTGATCCCGACCGAGTAATGTTGTGGCCTAAGCGGTCGCGAATGGACCGTACCACTAGTCAGTTGTGCACTAGCATACGCAACCAACTGCAAAGGTCCACTATTTGATAGCCCCGGGTGTAGAGGTGCACAACGGTTCTCTTCCTACACCAATTTGGAAGATCACTTACAATTAAGAACCAAACATATCACAAGTGGCCAAGCATCCACCAACAATCAAATAAAACCGAAAACAAAACAAGCGAAGGCAAAAAACTCTTCTAGTTAACACCACAAAACCGAACTCACCTACACAAATAAGCAAACAGAAACTGAAATCACACTCAAACAGCAAACATCAAACAGCAACACACAGAGCAGAAAGAAGCATCAAGCAACACAAAAAAACAGCAACACAACAGCCAGCAACACAAAAAACAGCAACACACTCAAACAACAAACAACAACATAGCAACAAGCAAACAAAGACACAGCAACACAGAAACAACAACACTCAAAAAAGAAAACGGCAACATGGCAGCCTACAAACAACAACACAGAAACAACAACACAGAAACAACAACACAGCAACAGCAACATAGAAACAGCAACACAGAAACAGCAACACAGAAACAGCAACACATCAAACAACAAGACAGAACCAGTAGCACAAAAAAGCAGCGCAGAAACAGCAGCACAGCAACACCAGCACAAAAACAACAAGACAGAAACAACAACAGCAACAACAGCGCAGAAACAGAAACACAGCAACAACAGTACAAAAACAGCAAGATAGCAACAACAGCATAGAAACAGCAGCACCCAACAACAGCAACACAGAAACAGTAGCAGCACAACAACATCAACAACAATAGAATCAACACAATAGCAAGCAGCACAGCAGATCAGAAGTAGACAGCAGTAGGCAGATACAAACAGTAGCAGACTGTAGCAGACAACAGTAGCAGACGTAAGAAGCATACAAAAGCAGTAGACAAAAGCAGGTAGACACAGGCACACAACAGACAGGCAGGGGCAGACACAACAAGCAGAGGCAGACACAGCAGAAAATAGCAAAACAGAAATAGTCAGCACAACAGAAACGAAGAAACATCGAGCTATCTTATCAAGTCGTTTAAAACAAGCTGATTTAGAGCTGACTACCCTAGTGAGAGATTAGTTTAAAATTAAAATGCAATTAACAATCATTTTTTCTCTATATTTATCGAGGTATCTTATCAAGTCAACGCTTACAAAGAACTAAACAAATTACCCGTAACTCTGGAAAGTGAACCGGTGTTGGATTATGAAGCTCCCTCGAGTCCGCATGTGTAGGAGTACGAACCTGCAATAGTAAGTTAATAATGCCACGTTAGATCTCACGTAACTCAATATGCCAAAACTAATAGATATGAAACTACCTCATCATCGTCTCCATGTATCTCATCATAGTCTCCATGTATCTCATCTTCTTCTTGTCCTTGTAGGTGACTACATGAGTCGACCGGTGTAGTCGAGGGGAAAGGCAAGCCCGGCAAGTTCAGTTTCTTTGCCCAAGCATTGAATTCTTCTCGCATTTCGTTGCGCACTTGTTCCTTAATTGATGCCACCGTGGCATCCAAGTCAACCGGTGAGTTCACACTTGCTCGGGATCTTCCTGATTTAGTATATTCTGGACCCATCACCTTTTCCCATCCTAGCAAGGTCCCTCCCGCACCTAATACCCGTTCTGGATGGTAGGGTTTTCCCAAAGCCAAGGTGAAAGGGTCCTTCTCTACTGTTGGGACGAGTTTGCCTTCAACCAGTTCTTCAGTGTACTCAAGCTATAGCAAAAACAAAAAGGCAACATGAATATAGTTAATGTTTTTGTAAAGTGATATTTATGCTAAAGCTTCATAAAGTTCACTAGTTCATAGTTTCTTATGAGTTTATCTGCCATTTCTTTGGTTTCCGGAGCGTTAATGACCCATTTTCCGGTTTTCTTGTCACGCGAATGCAGAGAACAAATGAAATCGCCAGCACGACTCACTAACGTAGTGGTCGTGGAATAAGAGGCTTCTTTGGAGGACCCTAGAAGCGCAGTGGTATACTCCCTCCCTCACTCACGTTTCCCTCCATTCACCAAATGTCTTACACCCTATACGATAGGTGTATTGCCTCTACAATGCATTTTTGGAATTTTGCTCCCTCAGTTCCTACATAATTAGACATGTTAGTATCATTTCATAAAAAAGAGTTAATAATTGGAAATTTTCACTTTTGCTACCACTCAAACACCCTCATTTCACTTTTTTTACCGATCTAAATTTTTTTTATATTTTACTACCACCAAAAGTTACAACATATAACTTTTGCTACCACTTAACAGAAACCGTTTGGGTTCCGTTAAGTGAGACCCATTATCTCATTAAATAATGATTTAATTTATTAAAAAGAAAATAAAAACTTAAATAAAATCTCATCCACTCCATCCCGTCAGCCACCTCCCTATCAACCACCCCTTCCCCCTCCCCGTGCCGGTTGCCGGCGACCTCATCCCCCGGCGCCGACGACTTCATCCCCTGGCGCCGGCGACCCCATCCCCCTCCCTTTTCCCACCCACGCTGCCCACCTCCCTCCTCAAATGCCTCCTTCTTCTCAACCCATCTTCTCACACACACTCTCTCTCTTCCCCTCATTTTCACATAATGCCCTCCCCTCCTTTCGCCTCCGCTGGCGATTTCCCGGGACTGGCGACCCTGTTTCTTCCCCCACCCAAAACCGGCACCCCTAACCCTAAACACCACCCTTAAAACCACCCTAAAAAGATTTTAGGGTTTCGTTTTTACGCTTTTAGGGTGGTTTCAGGGAGGGGTGCGGCCGAATGGTGTTGCTTGATGTTGCTGCTGGTGTTATTGGTAGGGATTGCGACTGGTTGCTACTGCCGCTGCTATTGGTTGTGCGTGGGCTTCTTGATGCGGCTGCTATTGGTTGCAAATGGTGTTGCTTGATGCTGCTGCCGCTGCGATTAATTGCTGGTGCGTGGGCTGCTTGATGGTGGTCGATTGTGGGCTGCCTGGGTGCTGTTGTTGGTGTGATGATGGTGGTCGATTGCATGGGAAATTGGAGTTGATTGCTGGTGGTGATGGAAGTGACGGTGGAGGAAAAAGGGAGATGTTGCGTAGTTAACTAAGTGGGGCCCCCAAACGCCAACAGTAATGAATTCCGTTAAAAAGTTGCAAATTTTAACAAAGGTGTTTTTGTGTGGTAATAAGATAAAATAAAAATTTAAACAGGTAGCAAAAGTGAAATACGTGTGTTTTGGTGGTAGCAAAAGTGAAAATTTCTTTAATAATTATACAATTGTCATCAGATTTACTTAAACTTACAATTGCTTCCTTTTTACTTTTTTGAAGAACAAAAGCTTCCTAATCATCCTTCGATATGCTTGGCCATTTTTGCCTTGGGAGTTGCTCTTCCTCGATAACTTCATCATCATTGCCACCTCCTTTCTTGTTCTTTGGTTTTTTCACCCTTGTCTTTGTGATCCACGTACGAACTAAGAGGGTCTTGAAGCCTCTGAATCTTTCTGCCAGTAAAGATTCAAACACCCTTCTCTTGGGGGCATCATTAGGAATGTTAAACACACTCTGCAAGCATAAATAAAAGCGATTATTAGTTTCCCCTTTTAAATAACAATAAAGTGAAGGTATTTATAATTGTGTGCAAGTAAAACACTTTCCCTTGTATCATTCCAAAATGTGTCAATCAAGCCCGTAGATACTTCCCGCCAACCAAGAGTAATGGGGATTTTGCGCGCACAAATCCCAACGTGAACAACATATTGACGACGCCATTTGCCTGTAGATTGTCTTGCCTTGTCATACTCTAGGGCCATGGGACCGACGGGTTTCTTAAAACTTGTCGTCGGACCCCTCGCCTTTTTCTTAGCCGGTGCCTTCACCCCCTCCCACTTTGTCCTTGGCTTTGAGTGTGGGAAGTAGGATTCTCACCAACCGTCTTAGAAACTGCATTGTCAATAGGAGGTGCTTGTTCAGCTGAAATCTCAAAGCCATCAAGCCTACGCTCCAACTCATCCCGAGCCTGATCTTCTGCTTCACCCAAATCAGGCTCCTTGTTCACATCATATAGCTCATCATCATCCTCAGATAAATCATCATTATCATCCTCTACATCCTCGACACAAATACGGTCCTGATCGTCCGCCATGAGATGTAAACACCTTCCATTACAAACATAACACGTTATTAGCTG